TAAGCAGGTTTTGTAGTTAGACTCACAGTCCACCTCCACTTCGATCCACTGGAATTACAACTCTCTGATGTAGATTCTCTTCAGCAGTCTTCATAAGCACTGCAAGCCGGCTCCCAGAGACATAGCCCTTCTGAATAGCACTCATGAGCTTAAAGAAACAACATTTAGAACATATTATGAACTCTGCCAAATGTATTAGCCAGACAAGACATAAAGCCAAACAGGCTTAAGTCTTTTCTCCATCCAGCGGATTCCATCCACTGGAGTCTGCCAGGAGGGTAGCTGCTCTTTTTACTCATGTAGCTTATCTGTATTTGAAAGCAGGGTATACTGCACTGGTGTAATTCAGAGCTCATTTCTTATTTCCCTCCCTAGTTTAGAGGTCTGCATCAGAATCAGCTGGCTACTACCAACTGACGACAACTAACAACAATTTCTAGTGTAAACAATGCATGAGAGTTAATTATTTTATCTATGCCAGAAGCAAAGGCTATTACCCAAATACCAGTGCTGTGATTTTTGTATTTATTAAAACAAGATGGCATTACTGTTTTAAGCTTTGACGGTGAAGCCCTTTTATATACTGCTACCAATGATATCAGGGGGTGTTTTACATATGCCTGGGCTGCAAGAGCCATACAAGCATCTAATGTGCATTTGAAAGTAATGCTGAAGTAGCCAACCCACATGCTGGCTTTTCAAAGCCTTTTAATAAGGCTGAATACAGACGATAACTCACATATTTGATTATTTTTTTTAACCTGAAGAGAGTCATTTAGACAGAAGAAGGAGAATACAGATCTCAATCTACCACTGGCCCTACCTGGTACCCTTTTTCACTTAACTCCTCTTTTTGGAAGGGACAGCCTACTTAGCTTCCATAATTCTTTTAAATCCAAATTTCTTTATAGACTTTTAAAAACTAATTTGCTTTTAAGTCCTTGAAACTGGACTCTCAGCTCTATCTTAACGAACACACTCCAGTGCTACGAGTTTAGTTAATTCTTTTTTTTATCCAATGGATCAGATGAGCATTAGACTTGAAATTACATGCAGTCAGCTTGTAAAAGGCTAATCTGGAAAGCAATTGGCACTTACACCATATAATTTCTTACTCTTATGGAAAGCTACGTAGCCATTTTGTTTCAAATGTCTTCCCTTTTTACAAAGAGCTACTGCACATAGAAAAGGCCCCACACAAGCTTGGTAAACCTGAAGGACAACTGACTGCCAGGCAGCCAAAACTGGGGATGCTACAGTAGACTGGTAGGGGACAAATGGGGTTCAGCTGGGCTTTGCCTCCCCCAAAAGCTGAACTGTTCAGGGAAGATTCCCTAAACTGGGGGAAAGTGCTAGGGTGGGGATTCTCTCCCCCATCATGCAGCCTTAGGGAAGCAGTGCAAAAGAGCAGCCTCCCACCACATCCTCCTGCCGTCCTGAACAGCAGCAGAAGCAACTAAAAAGCAAGCATTCCCTCCTCTTCCTCACAGTCCCTTCATCCCAGTTCAGGCAGTCCTCTTACACTTTTGTCCCTTGCCCTATCTGTCAAACCCTGTCATCTCCTCAGTTTTCTTCCATTTAGTTTATCCCTACTGACAGTAAACTCACTAAAACAACAAACAAATGGGAACTAGCAGGGTGCCTCCTGCCATCACACTGTTCATTTTATGTTGCCATCCCATTTACTACCGCACACCTATCTCACCTACTTAGGCTGTGAAGCCCTTATGTCACAAAGCTTCCATCCCACTGGGCCACGTAAATAGAGGCAGTGCTGGATCTTTGACTAGTACCTCTTAAGCAAAACAAGATCTACAAATACACCAGTATGTACACAGGCCATGTTAAAAACCTGCCAGATCTTCAGTTGGAGTAAAATCAACAAGTTAAGAAAATGGTCCTAATATAAGACTGGCAGTCACTATCTGGTGACCAAATACAGTCCTTCTACCAGAGCTTGAAAACAGCCTGCAATTGTCAAAGCATCATATCCAGCACCCCCTCTTCCCCCTTACTGTTCTTGTATAACATTAGTATGTCAGGAAACCATGCAACATTCTTACTAATTGTATTTAGACCTGGGTGAAATATTTATAACAAATAGTTTAACTGATTAATTCAACTTCCTCTGCTAATATTCTCGTGGAATATATCTGTGAGCATCAAGATTTCCCTTCATTTTCTGCACAGTCTCTACAAGAATTCATTATTTGAGCTATATTCAGTGCTTGCGATTGGTCAGATGAGTCACATGCCAGGATTCTGCTCCCTACTTGGGAAAGTGAATAAGCATATTAGCACAAACTTTCACTCACTAAAATACAAATTCCCATCAATACCTGCACAAAAAGCTTTCCATGAACAGTAATATGCCAGTAAATTCCATATGATTATATTAAAGTTTTCAAGTAGGAAACACAAGAGTACCACAAATTTGACATAAACAAGCCTTTAAAGAAAACTTACTACCATTCACCATATTTACTTGAATAGAAGATGATCCTGATTATAGGACAGCCCCCCTGCCCCCCAATAATTAGATTCTCTATATGGAAAATTTATAAATTTGTTATAATTTTCCAAGTACAGAATCTAATTATTGGAGGTTTGCCTTGAATTTGTCCCACTCCCACTGCTACAGCAGGAAGTTAAATCTGGAGAGGTCAGAGCCCCTTTGCTCTCTGCTTCCCCTTAACTTTTGCCCCTGGCAACCCCTTTCCTCTCTCCTTATCAGATCCTGCTCTCCTTGAACATGAAGTGAGGAGCAAATTTGAAAGCAATAACCTTTAAATTAACATGGCTATAGCAATTTGCATACAGTACCCAGACACTTAATCCACCCACGATTGATCCATGTTGGGTTTTTTTTAAACTACTGCAAGTTTTAACACAGGTACTCCATAAATACACTTTTGAGCAGCACTTTGGCAGTTTTTTTGTTTGTTTTGTTTTAAACAGAAAATTTTTCATGTCCCAGGTCAAATCAGCCAAATCAGTTCCAAAACCGTTTGAATCATTCAAGAACCATATATGGCCCTGCTACTGGCAAGCATCTTCCACCCCAAACTGGGGCTTCAGATACTTCCAAATCCTTCGGCAGGTATCCTATGTTCAAGCCCACGTCTGGAGGCTTGGGGTTTGGATGCCCCTGACTTTCACTTGCCCCATATTTTCATATCACCACAGAAGCAAGCTAGGGAGGAGTCTCCCATTTCCAAAAAGTTGGCAGGTAGCCAAGATCCTCCCACTGGAAGCTGGCCAGTGGGAAGTTAACTATGAAGCTCTCATAGGGAGTCCTGTTCACAAGCAGACAGGGGTGCACCCTCCACTACACAGTGACATTTTAATTGCATTACCTCGGCCAGGGTATTTCCCCTGCAGCACTTTGGCACCTACTGATATGCATTAGTCCAAAGCCAAAGGTTCATGATTTACCACATAGCTTATTGGGCTGGGCCTCAGAGTCGACAGGATTTCAAGCCATGGTGATCACACAGCTCAGCACTGCCCAGTATGTGCGTGTACTCCAGATACCCCCCTCAAAGGATCCATGTGCTGATTAGCCCCGAGCCTCCCCACACACTCATGACTGGAACTCGATGTTCTTGTCACAAGTCCTGGAGTGCTTCAAAAATTTGTACGCAGATGAGGCACGGGGCATCCTAGTCTGGCTTTATCTCATTGAGGGCAGGACAACACTAATCATATGTGCCAAGCTAAAAGAGGAGGCGAAAGATGGATTCTGGGTGAACTGTTTGGGGCCCTGTTTGGTGATGTTTGCTAGGCATTTATGGCTGGTGAAGTAACAGGAATCATTGGGAATGGAAAAGAAGGGCACAGTTCAGCTGTGAGAGTAAAAGGGAAGTGAAAAATGGATACAATGCCATGGCTCACCATGACTTGAAAAAAAAAGTGTCAGCAGTGAGGGGGACTGGGTTTAATGAGTACTATCATATGTCTTATTCAAACGGACTGCACTAATTTAACCTGGCAGGGGAAATACCGTGATCACCAAAGTGGTTTTCCTACTGGTTGGGGAAGACCACGAATGTGGCAGGGGGTAGTACCTTGGCTGAGGTAATAAATAGTTAGCATCCGGCTTTCACTTCCAGTGGGAAGATCTCGCCTATATGCCAACTTCATGGAAATGGGAGACTCCTCCCTAGTGTGCTCCTGTGGCCATCTGGCTGAGGGCAAGTGAAACTCGGGGGCACCTGAACCCCAAGCCTCCAGGATTGGGCCTGAACACAGGATGCCCACCAAAGTATTTGGAAGTATCTGAAACCCCAGGCGAGGGTGGAAGATGCTTGCCGGTAGCAGGGCCACATATGGTTCTTGAATGACTCATAGATTTGGAATTGATTTGGCTGATTTGACTTGGGACATGATAAATTTTACTTTAAAAAAGAAAAAAGAAAAGAAAAGAAAGAAAAAGAAAAAAAATCTCAGCTTTTTTTGGCAAAGATCAAATGCAGCATTTTTGGCCCCAGAGTGATGGTGTCAGGGCTGGTTCTGGCCCTTCTGGTGCTGGTCTGGTATTGCAGTACCTGCATGCCAAGTTCCAGGTCCCTGGAATTTTTTTTAAGGGCTACACAAAAAAAAATGTTTCCATCAGCATGTTTGCTCAATATGGGCCATATGTTTTATAGTCACGGTCAGTGCCAGCTGCATTCAACTAGCTTCATACATGGTTTTCATTGCTGAGCAGATGCTGCTTTTGGCAGCAGTTTAACAATAGACAATGTATTTAGTAAGATGTCCTTGTATGTGATTTTGAGGGGCTTTCCCCCCCCCCAGCCAATTGGGGTGGAAAACGTCATCGTGTATTTAGGTAAATACGGTACTTTTCATATTCCCTTCGTGTGTGTGTGTGTGTGTACACACACACACACACACACACACACACGCGTATATACATACACACATTCACGTATTTATTTAAAGGATACGGTCCTTATGCTACATTTTAAAATGCAAAAGAGGGCAATATAGAAGGCACCACAAGGCGCATAGCTTTAAAAAGTAACTTAGAAATACACAAAGAGATCTGCCATTTCTATTTTGGAAGTATTAAACTATAGGACCACCTCTAAAGAGACTACTGAAAACAGTAAGTAAATCACAACAGGATCCATTGCTTGTTATTTCTATTTTTTAACTACAGTGTACTCAAACTAATCAAATTATACCATAAAATGTAGTCATAAAAGTAAAGAGTTTTCTATGTAAAATGCAAAGTCACATTTCTTCTTTTAAATTAAAGTTTCTTATGAAAAAAAAATTAAAAAGGAAGCTGTCTCCCAATTACCTGATTGTGGTGGGGGTTTTTTCCTGGTTGGTTTGTAGGGTTATATTTTTCCTTTTTTAAAAAAATTTATTCGTATAAAGACATAAGGCAGTTCTTAATTAAAAACAAAACATGCATTTTGTCACACAGCTGAACCACTCAGTTTCAGGTGAATAAATACTGCTTTTTTGTAATGCTGGACACAACCTGTGAAAATTTTCTGCATTTAGATTCAACAATGCTCCTCTTATCTACAGCTCATCTCGAGAGAGACAATTACCATTTCCTTTGCCTTGATCTTGTTTGTTTAACTTGACACAGTGAAGAAAGGGCTGACATTGACCAAAATCCCCAGCATTAATTTATCTCATGTTCGGCATTCATCATTGCCATGGTGCAGGAAAGACCTGGCAGTCATTTGAAATACCTGACCAAGAAAGACTCTACAAAAAACAAACCCAGCTAGCTGGAAATAAATAAATGGCTCGTTCAAGAGGAGTCAAATGGACAAACATTTTAGTTGTATCCTTATTGCCTTATTTTTTTTTAAAGCCTTGCAGAGAAAAGATGCACGGGCAACTGATGTTCATTGCTTCCTTTCCCGTACTCTGATACATTCCTCTTTACCTAAATCAGAAATTAAACAGGAACATACGAACTTGACAGTGAATGGGCCTTGACAGTGAATCTGCAGTTTCTCATCCTCAATGCTTTTAAATTGAAGTTTCTAATCAGTGCTTGCATTAGGAACATACAAATGACAGTGTTTGTACTGTGTAGTACAGGCCAAATTATGCCTTGAAATGCTGCTTGACTCTCACCAAATTTAGGGGAAGAAATATATGTTTATCTGGGGCAGAAGTCATCCCTGTCCTCTTGAAAAGGACCCTCAACAAACTGTAAGATACATTGTTTGAGTCTAACAGCAGTTATTTCTGCACAGAAGAAACTCCTTGCATTTTAGAGTTGCTTAAAAGTCAAGGGGTGTTTTGCTGTATTGCACTGAATCATGATGGCAAACAGCTTCTGATGACTCTTGGCAGTCTGGTGCCACCCAGGTGATGCTATTACTAAAGCACTCTATGGCATGTTGAGGAAATAGGAAAATCAGCGTAAGTCACTACAGACTTAGTCAAAAGTTTGTTTTGCTTTGCCCTGAAAATCTGCTTGGAGAGTTATCCCCCGGTTTTCCCCCAGTAGCATCCTTATCTCTCTGAAGACAGGAGTCCATGTGGAATTGCTGGCATAGGATGAAAACTTACAGAAACAAGCCAGCACTTGCCCCTTCCATGCCTACTCCACTTCCATCCTGCTAGTTAAAGGTCTCCTGGTCTTTCACACAAATAGAGGGGAACATATTCTTTCCTCTCCCTTACTTTAGCCTCCTTGTAGAAGGAAAAAAAGACAACAGAGAAGAGGTTATTAGGACAAATTTTCTTTCTAAACTCAGTTTGTCAATTATAGAAGGACTAGACCCACTTCCTCTTCTAGTATGTGACCTTTCTAATGCACCTTTATAGATTAACTAAACAGGATACATATATAGAGAGAGCACAAGCTTTCATGAATCCAAGTTCACTTCATCAGATGCTGTGAAAGGACAGCATAGTTCTATATGCATGTCTCCCTGTCTGTCTTTCTTTCTCTCTGTCTCCCTTATTTAATCAGTCTAAATGGCCAAGGATAGAAATTACACATCAACCAGTATAAGTGATTGGAAACTGGTTCAAATCTGTAACACAACAGAAGTTCAGTGCACGTAAACCACTTTCAGACGCCAAGTACAGTCAAAAAACCTAAGGCTGAATCAATTCAATCTTTGCACGGTTTTTTTAAACTGCATAGACTGAACCAATAAGCAAGTGAACTCACGTTCACTTTTCAAACAGGAAAGGCAGACAGACCTCTGCAGTGGCCGATACTAATAGCTGGGGAGCGCTAGAGCACGCCTCTCAGCCTGCTCGCCACAGCAGAGAGCTGAAGCCCTCGGATACCCCAAGCCATGTCCCCTCCACAGCTACCCTGTGGGCTAAGCAAGGTATCTTGGGGGGTATCTTCGAGAACTCCTGGCGCTCAGGTGAAGTGCCCAAAGATTGGGAGAAGGCCAATGTGGTGCCTATCTTCAACATAGGGAGGAAAGTAGATCCAGGGAACTACAGGCCTATCAGCCTGACCTCTATCCTGGGGAAGATCTTGGAAAAAATTATCAAAGGGACCATTCTTGACAAACTGGCTGATGGCAACATCCTGAGGGACAGTCAGCACGGGTTTGTTGCGGATAGATCTTGCCTGACCAATCTCATCTCCTTCTATGACCAGGTGACATATCACCTGGACAAGGGAGAAGAGATTGAAATCAATATATATGACTTTTAAAAAAGCCTTTAACCTGGTGTCCCATGATTTCCTCATAGAAAAATTAGCCAACTGTGGCTGTCGCTACATCACAGTCTGATGGCTGGGGAATTGGCTCCGAGGTCAGACCCAGAGAGTGGTAATCAATGGAAGTAAATCATCGTGGTGTACCATGACCAGTGGTTTCCCCCAAGGCTCCATCCTTGGGCCTATACTCTTTAACATCTTTATTAACAATTTAGAAATTGGTATCAGAAACAGACTGGCCATGTTCACAGATGACACCGAACTTTGGGGTAAAGCGTCCACACCCGAGGATAAGCTGGTGATCCAGGCTGACCTCGACAAGTTCACAAAATGGGCAGTGTCATAACCCAATGATTTTTAGTGCCTCGGCACGGTGGAATTTTCCCGCCACGAGAGTCTCTGTGCACAGCAAAAGTTTTCTGTTGCAACAGAAAACTCCGGTGCAAGAGAGTTCCCGCTATTCGTATGCAAATTTGTGTCCTACCATTGGCCAGTTCTAAATTATTCCTATGTGGCGGCTAGCGATTGGCTTGTTAGCCATTTAAAATTCTATGCGACTTCCGCCCAAGTCGGAGAACTTTGAGCACGCTGCAGAGTGACTTTGAAGATTCCTGACTCGTGGCTGAGCTGATCGATAGCCCAATCAACTATCGATTTGTCTCCCCGTCGCTGAGCGCCATCCCTCGACGTACCCTTTCCCTGCCGGCCTGGTTCGTGTACGGATTCGCTGGCCTGAGCCTTGCCAGCTGGAGCAACTCGCGTAGTTGTTTAAGCGACCGGACCACCTGCATCGCGGCTACTAGCGGCGTAAGTAAAGCTTTTTTGCAACCAATACGCTTTGTCTGCCTCTCCATTCACCAGCCCGCCCAACAACCGAGTAATTTCTAGATCACCTCCAGTCGGACCCGGCCGTCTGAGACAGGCAGATGAAAGCCTGATGGCATCCAACACCGAAAAATGCATGGTACTCCACCTTGGGGAAAGAAACCCGCAGCATGCTTATAGGCTCGGCAGTGCTACACTTGGTACACCACGGGACTTGGGGGTCATGACTGACCACAAGATGAATATGAGCCACCAATGCGATGTCGCAGCTGGTAAAGCAAAAAAACTCTGGCTTGCATCTATAGATGTTTCTCAAGCAAATCCCAGGATGTCATCTTCCCACTGTACTCGGCCTTGGTGAGGCCACAGCTGGAGTACTGCATTCAATTCTGGGCTCGACAATTTAAAAAGTATGTGGAAAAGCTTGAGAGAGTCCAGAGGAGAGCCACACGTATGATCAGAGGGCAGGAGAACAGGCCCTATCATGAGAGGCTGAGCCATGGGACTCTTCAGCCTGGAGAAGCTCAGGCTCAGGGGTGACTTGGTGGCAGTCTATAAGTACATAAAGGGTGTGCATTAGCATCTGGGGGAACACCTGTTCACCAGAGCACCCAGGGGATGACAAGGTCCAACGGTCACAAACTTCTGCAAGACTGTTTCAGGCTGGACATAAGGAAAAGCTTCTTTACTGCCTGAGCCCCCAAGGCCTGGAACAGACACCCCCCAGAGGTGGTGCAAGCACCTACTCTGGACTCTTTTAAGAAACATTTGGACATCTATCTTGCTGGGATCCTTTGAGCCTAGCTGACTTCCTGCCCCTGGGGCAGGGGGCTGGACTCGATCTCCCGAGGACCCTTCCAGCCCTAATGTCTATGAAATCTATGAAACAGCCCAGAAGGAAGGGAGGGGAAGTTGGAACTGAGGGCTTTACTCTGTCTCCCCTTCCCCCACGCCTCCCCCTCCCCAGCTTGGAATGGTGCTGGAATCTCCCAGCTATGCCCCCTTCTCAGTCTCCCAGCCAGCTGAGGCAGCAGGGGGGGAAATCTGCACCTGAGCTTGGCTCTGCCCCCTGAGGTGGAAGCCAGGAGTCATGCCCCCTCCTCAGCCTGGGGCTGGCTGAGGGGGAGGAGAAGGAAAACCCGTAGCAGGGGCTTGGCTTTGCCCCCAGAGCTGGGAGCCAGGAGTCATGCCCAGTCCTCAGCCTCCAGCCTGGATGCAGGGAAGCTGCAGCGGGGATTGACTCCGTGCCCACCTCAGAGCTGGGAGCAGGGCTGGAGTCCCCCAGTCACACCCTCTTCTCAGCCTCTGGGTGGGCTGAGGGGAGAGGGTGCAGGGGGGGGGTCTAGGCTCTGCTACCCCAGAGCAAAGAGGCACATCCCTTCTCCACCTCCAGGTTAGCTGAAGGAAGGAGGATGGAGAAGCCTGCAGCAGGGCCTTGGCTCCACCCCCCAGAGCCCCCTCAGCTAAGAAAGGGGTGGAGCAAGGTGACTCCTCCCCTGTTCCCAGCTCTGTGGGGAAGAGCCAAGCCCTGGTGCTGGGTTTTCCCCACTTCCCAGCCAGCCCAGAGGCAGAGAAGGGGGAGAGGTGCCCAACTCCTGGCTCTGGGGGGGGGCAGAGTCAAGCCCCCACTGCAACTGTGCCCCCCCCAGGCCTGCAACACCTGGCTGGCAGTCTGCTGCTGAGCTAGAGGGTTGAGTTTTTCCCCCTCGCCCCCTCCTCAGCCACCCAGATGAGTGATAGTGCTCTGGCTAGGGAACAGAAGGGCAGGGCAGACAGCACAGCCCAGCACTGCAAAGCATCGTGGGATGCTGGGGGACTGTAAGTTAACTTGAACCAAGAAGGGATCTGGGACAGAAGTTCCATAAACTAGCTTGACCTAAATCAGTTAAGTCTGGTACAGCATCCAACCAGGTTTATCTTAAACCAGGTTTGGCCATTTTGAAAGTGTTTGAAGTGCATGGAGTTTCTGTTCTGTTACAGGTTTAAACCAGTTTCTGATTTCTCAAACTGGTTTATGTGCAATTTCTGTCCCAAGCCAAAGTGGCCGAAACAGGTTTAAGATAAAAGTGGATGGATATAGTATCAGACTTAATTGATTTAAGTTAAGCCAGTTTATCAAACTTCTGTCCCAGATTCCCTGCATATTCAAGTTAACTCAGTCACCCAGCATCCCATGATGCTTTGCACCTCCCCCACAAACCCTCCCTCACAGGGTGGGTGAGCTAGCTTTGACCCAAATTGTCTGCTCCAGCTGAGCAGGGAGGTGTGCTCTAGTGCCCCCTGGCTTTTGGCCTGGGCTGCTGCAGGCATGTGGCTGCATTTGCGGAACCAAAAGTGATTCCAGAAATGCGAAGATTAAATTGATTCAGCCTTGGACTTTTTGACTGTCTGTACTTAGCCTAAAGGTATGCATCTACCCTGCCTTCTAATTAACTCCAGACTAACATGGCTAACTACCTCCTCACCTTTCTTACTCTCATGGGCACCAATAATTACAGTGGATTCTATGAGGCTACGATTTTAAACTTAAAGCTTGTCTTCACTGTAAGTTACAAACTTGAGCTAGCTTATCGCTTGTTCAACAAAAGTAACGAGATCTACCACACTCCAAAGCTACTCAAGCCAGACTACTTTTATTAACAGAACACAGGGCATTTATACATGTGCTCCAGCGGGGGGGAGGGGGGGGGGCAGGTGCTTTAATCAGAGTGGCTCCAAAAGCCCCTCTAATTAAAGCGCCTGGAGCGTCTTGTATATCAGCGTCCCCATGCTGAAAAGTGGCAGCAGGGGTGCTTTAACTAAAGCTCGTCAAATTGCGGCTCCCTTTGCTCTAATCAAGTTGGGGAAAATTCTTCCCCCCCACTTCAGATTGATGATTGTAATACTTACATATCTCTGCTTGGGCTGGCCACAGTGTACCTGGATTTGAATTTGACCATGTACAGGTGTCAGCACTATTCAAGCAGCAACATTAGTAAGCATGCATAGGGCATCTGGGCTAATAAGTACATAGTCTTTGGAGCAAAGGAAATTATGTGAACAATACAGATACTACATTTAGGCAATTGCTTAGCATTTTTCATGGTGACCAAATTCATTGCCCACATGCAGGCAAGGTAAATTAGTATGAAAATCAGATGTACAAATGCTACATCTAGCTTTAATAAATCCTTTCCAGCCATCTATAAAATAAGACAGCTATACAGAGTAAAGGGGAGATATTCCTTTGTCGTCTTCATCATGATTCCAAATACAAAATACTCACCTGTAAAAACTCATCGAGTTCCACCTGCCCATTTTTGTTTAAATCCACTTCATTTAAAATATCGTGAAGTGTATTTTCATCAATTTGAATACTGATGCTCTAAATAAAGAAGGAAAAAAGGCAAATCAACTGGATTAATTAAACACTATTTCAGTCATCCTGGGCAATTTAGATAAGAATTCAAAAATCACAAGAGAAATGTTACCTCTAAGACACGTTGGACATCCAGTATGGTAATAAATCCTTTATTTTCTTTATCAAACATGTGGAATCTCTTCTTATATCTGCAATATAGGTTTATTACTGAAATGGAGCTGCACTCTAAAGAAAGATAGAATTTTTATTCCCAGAATCAAGGGGGGAAGGGGATAAAAGGTCAACTTGTGCTTATTTACCTTTCAATATCCGAAGGTACAAGACTGATTTCAGAACTGTCCGTTAATTGCTCTGATTTTGCCTTATATCCCATTTCATAGTACAGAAACTTTTTCGCAGCTGCAAGTTCTTCCTACAACAAGAAAAAACTTCAGTTCTAAACAACAAATACTTAGTTACTACGCTGTTTAAATGAAAGGAGCCCATAAATTAAAATTTCTTGTCCTTGGAGGAATTCAACAGTTGATTGGCAAAAATCACTTAGAGGGGGATAAGATAATTAAGATTAGGTGATACTTGATGTTTTCACTGGATCTCTAGAACATTGGACAAGTGTTGTTTGTCAGTTGATAATTATGCTGAGAGATATGGAATGTAAACATTTTTAGGGTCATACGTGGGCTCACAATGAAGCAGCAAAACTACACATGCACATCAGGACCATGAATGACACTTAATTTACCGAGTTGATGTCTTACAGTTGTAAATGACCCATTATGATTCTAAATGATCAATCAGGTATATCAAACAAAGCTGACATGCTAGCCTCTTCACATAGCAGAATGTAGAATGAAGCAGAATGTTTTGGCATTAAGTGTGAATTGCTCGGTTCAATTTTTAGGATAGAGGGTCTGGCATTTTTTTTTTTTTTTTTTTTTTTTTAAACTAAACAACAACACTATGTCTCAAATATATAAATTTAATATAGTTGCATACAGTTTTATTCTACAACTATAGATATACTTCTGTAGCATTTTCAATAGCATGTTCACCAGTTTGCCATAAAAGAAAAGTCAGTTAACTGGCTTACTCAATACACTACAGATTATGTATAATGGCATGCAAAAATATGCTGGAGCCATCATTTAGCAAAGATGTACTCAACTTTTAAGCATAAAGGAAAACCCTCTGAACTTTCTGGAGCTACTTACAAGCTTCAGGTTAAACAGTCTAGTCACACTTTGCTGGACTGGGATTTAATTTAGCCTTGAATGCAATGACCTCATCCCCAGGACTGTACTTAAGGAGTGATATGCTAAGCAACAAAGTGCACTAAGGACAGCCTGGGCACTGCCCACCTGGCCTGCCTGTTGAAAAGGTTGAGCACCACTGTACTAGACTATTATGAAAATAGACCATGTACATAGAAATGAAAATTACAATCTCAAGATGCTCCATCCTTGGTTACAGAAACTGTATTTTATACAGAAGTATTTGAAAAATGAGCCATGATCATGCAACTACTGACTGCACACAATACATAGAAGGGTCAGAATTAAAACTGCCTATACAACCTCAACACTGACATTTCCTCAGTTAGGACCCTTTTGTGTTAACACCCTAACATTCTTCCGATTTAATCTTTGAGCAGTTTTCTAGAGATCCTAACTTCTACCAATTCACTAATTATCATAGAGGACCCAATCCTGACTGTACCTCCTCCCCCCACCCCTTTTCAAAATCCTAGATCTGCCCCTGAATTCTCTCTCTTTCTCTCTATGTCCATTTAGCTGAGAAGAGTAAAGCAGGCTCTTTTCAGAATTTTCACGCAACTTTTGACAAGCTAGGCAGCAATATGAATAAGCAACAAAAAGCTTTCCATTCTTTCTAGCAAACTCCTCGAGAGTATTTTCAAGTTCTGCCTATAACAGAAATAAGAGAGTGAGGATCAATTCTGGACATTCTGCTTGGATACAGTTTCAACTACTGTTCTCCCTCCTTGTGAAAGAGCATTGAAAAAAAACCCATACCACATTAAGAGCGAAATCCTAAAAAGGTGCTGGGAACTTGTATCTGACACTGGAGACAATGAAAACGAAGGATGTTTCACACCTTGCAGGCCCAGACTCCAAGTCACCAGATCTCAATGACTGCCCAGGAGGATTCAGGGAAAAGAGACTAATAGGAGATTATTTTAGGGCAGTAGTGGCATCAAGCTCCATTTCATAACCAGTCTTGTGAGACAGGAGACACAGGGAGGTAAGGGAGACATCAAAGAACCATAAGCAGCATGCCTCTTCTCAGCAAAGCCAACCCAGTTGTTACAAACCCCATCATGAAGAAAGTACTTTAGGGAACAGACTGAAACCACAAAACTTGCTTTCACTTCAACTTAAGCAGCTGTGAAGCACAGGTCTTTTTAGACCAATCAAAACTTGTTTGATAGCTATTTTTATAGCTAATAGCTATAACTACTGTAACTGTGGTATACAGGCATATACCAAAAGATTATTCTTTCAGGAAACAGATTTCATTTATAGTTTTCTCAGTCAACCAATTTAGATGTTTGCTTGTTAAGATGGAAACTAGTTAAGAAATATAAAATTCCAGCTGTAAGGTGCCCTTTGTACCTTTTTCCACTGTTCACTCCAATTAAGTTCCTTCCCCATGATATCAACAATTCTTGGTAGGGCTTCATCAGCAGCCTGCACATTCAGGAAGGCCAGGCGAGTACGACGCGAGATCATATCGACTACAGTGCAGGCGTACTCTTTTACACCATATATCACCTAGGATATTAAAATAAAAGGTAAAAACTCAAAAAGACAACACAAGATACTGCCTGGTTGGGCATGGAAAAATAAACTGAACTATTTGGGAGCAAAGTTAGATAGGACAAGCATCAGTATATGGGGGGTGGGGGAGGAGAGAAGAGAAGGTTTGCAAGAATGTGGCACACAATTACGGAAAGGATCATAGCTTTTCACATACCTCTGCTTCAATATATGGAAATTCGGACACAAGACGTTTTCCAACAATAGGCCACCTCTTGCCAGTAACCTGGGCTATTTTGGCCACCTCAAAAGCCTTGTCACCATATGTAGAAGCAAGATGCTGAGCCACCTACGGAATTGAGAGCAAATTTAGACGTTTATATCCCAGGAGTTTCTGAAACACAGATGAATACATGTAAACTATCTTGTCAGTTCTCCCAGTGCATGTAACAAATAGTCCAAGGAGGCTATTAGATTTTGATTGTGTGGGTGGAAACTACTTGTGTTGTGAATGCTTAGACCAGCACTAACACTACTATGCATGTATCAATGTAACGGTGACTAATGACACTTCAGCTCCTTTCTGCTACTGTGATCACATTTGAAGAATAGATTTTGTTGGGCTTGAGATGCCCAAGACTGGTGTTGTCACACATGTTTCAAAAGCAGAACTCATAGTTTCAAGTTTATGATGAATCTGGGATAAAGAACGTGCATGTTTTTTAATGATCCAGTAGCGAAGAAGGCAAAGGACTAGAACCTCGCTCACATACAATTATGGTAGGTTTTCCCTGATTAAATAATACAGCCTTATCGGATTTAAAATCCCCTACTACAGGTGATAGCGTGACTAGACTTTTATTTATAAAAGGTTATTTATAACTGTAATTAATTTACTGAATTGAAATAGAAATAGCTTACCTCACTTTCAAGTCCATAATCCTGGACCAGTCTAATGTAAAGAGTAGGACTCCAGTCTTTTGCCCCCTGTAATAAAAGTCCTACTGTCTTACTGGAGCCTGCCATGAGATTGTGAGCCTGGACAGCAGCATCAATGGTATCCTGTGCCATGGAGCGATAGGTTGTCCATTTCCCACCTATAAGCAATTTATTTACTTGGTTAGGTTTCTGTTTTTATATGTCAATAAAAAATGTGGGTGGTTGCAGTTGCTGGACTTCACCTTTGTACTGCTTCATTACTGGACTCTTGCTCCTGACTGGACTTGAATCAGCAATTCACTTATTCAGAAAGAATACCACTTATTTTTAAATATGGCTTACTCCCTCAAATTCTTGTAATAATATTCATTTATTATTAATTAAATACAGAGAATCCTAAAAAAGCCACACGAGAAACATTGAAATGGTTTACCAGTACCTGCTATGGTTACAAGGCCACTGTCACTGACAGCAACAATGTGATTCCGAGATATTGACTGCGTGTCTTTAGAGTTCGGATCTGTGACCAGGGGACGAATGCCACTCCATGCTGCCAAGACATCTCCTCTTCTCACTGTTGTTGGGAACCAAACAACAGCCAAACAGAATTAGAACGTAATCCCTAAGGATTCCATTTCTGATTAAAGGCAATTATTTCATTTCCTTAAAGTTACTCTGGCACAAATATTTACATCTGTTCTCCCCAAATTCATATGCCAGACAGTCAAAAGACAGAAGCACATGCATCCTCAGTTTCATCACATCTAACTTAATTAAGCTTAATACTTCAACAACATAAAAAATTAGAAATATCTGACGAGGGGGTTGGGAGAGTTAGATGAGTCAGATATTGCACATGGGGAATCCAAGGAAGAAGACTGACAAGACTTGCCTAAGGACAAGAGAGGGTTCCTGTTTCAGAATAAAGTTAGAACTCAGAGTCCCTTGGCTCCCTGTCAGGTGCTCAGACAAACAAGGACCAAAAACATAATGGAAATTATAATACCTGTGACAACCCAAGGCTTACATATTATTTCATGCAGACTTTTTTTTTTTTTTTTTTTTTTTAACTGCTCATTCTTCTAGACCACCCTCTAACAGCAACATGAGGCATTTGTCTGTATGGTATGGTTTACAATGACCCATTCTTAGCAGCTTGGAAGAAAGCCAAATCAGGAGCTAGTTTAGATGATAGTCTAAATGTTAATGCAACAAAACTACCATAGTATTAACAGCTGAATTAAAAATAGGAGCTAGAACGAAAAATACTTCTGATATTCTATATAATTTTTTATGACCCTCCTGTTGGTAGGATGCAGGAAGCTTTCACAGAAAATCAGAGGGAAGATAGGGCTAAGAGACTTCCCTGCCAATGTTAAGCCTACCATTTCAAGAAGAGAATCCAGTATCTCACACTTCCCCCGTCAGAACAACTATCCTGATATGGGGTTTGAAGGAAAATAAAAGACTCATAGAATCACAGAAAAAGAAGAGTTACCCTGTATCCTTCGCCTGGTAAAGCAGTACAATATGCACTGGCTGAAGGACATGCCTCTTCTCAAAATGTGTGTGTGATAGTTCAGAAAGGAGAATTCCCAGTACTGGAAGCCTCTTGCCAATTGAAAGAGGTTGGGGGGGGGGGGGGGGAGCAAAGAGAGCATAAAAAACTGGTCAGTTTTGTTGGTAAAAGAGGTCAAAAAGTTTATTTCATTTTAAATGGTAAGATTCCACCCCCCTCTTCTCCTCTCCCCCACCCCCACCTTTATTTGAAGTCACTTGCAGTTTCCTTTGGACTATTCTAATCAGTCAGACGGGTTATTGCAGTTGCCACTATGGCACTTTATTCTTCACTTTTAAAGAAGAAAGGCACATAGGAAATAGTGCACTTACTGCTTTCTTTTCATGAGGAAACCATTTTATTATTGGTGCATAATGGCTACTTGAAGAAAACACTGTAGGCTTTTCTGAACCCATCATGAACTCTCTCTGGATCAACAGGTAAACAAAATTATAGTGAAAACGTAATGATTTGTTTTCATAGAAGGTGAAACATACCCAGGTAAATGAAATATCATTTTCTCTATCTCTATCTTAGAGATGACAGGTACCCAGCATACACCAAATATAAAAACAGAAGAAACTAACGTGATACATGTTGTCCAATTACTCTTCTGAAAGCATCACCACTACTCGCTGTTCAAAAAGCTTCTTGAATTAAAAGCTTTACATGTCTTTAAATTCAGTTTCCAGTGGAGACCGCCACTCTTCGACTGCTTCCCTTTTCACTGACTTATTATCCTTTGAGGTATCCAAACATTAATATTTTATATGTAAAAGAAGAATCTATCAGGCTGTCTCTTATTCCACTCCCATTTTCCTCCACCTCTCTTCTTTTGTTTAATCTAGGGGTGTCCGCACTAGCTAGATGAATGGTGCAGAGCCAGATCCCTTGGCATACTGAATCTGACAGGTGCTCCAGCTGGTCTGGGACCCAGGCTGCATGTGGCACAAATCCCAGAAGGGGCATCATGTGTGGTGCACTCTGGCCAGAGCAGCAGCAGTGCTACATGCTGTGGCCACCTGGCCCAGACTGTGCCAAGCACAGCACCTGCTCTTGGATGTACACCACACACACAAGCCACTCCAGTGCAGGCTGCAGTGGGCTTATCTACATGTGAATTAGTTTGCCTTTTCTAATCCACATTAAATGTAGTACCTCCAATGCGAGGTGCTAAATTAATGTGCGTTAGACTGTGCTAATGTGCAGTAGCACATTTGCACACTTCAGTGACACTCAGCGCTCAGTAGACTATTTACTACACATCGGCGTAACATCATGGTTTTTACATGATGCTTTAATGCATAGTAAAATAGTTGACTGCACATTAAAGCACACATGCAGATGCTCCTGGTCTGGCTGAAACAGGTGCCACAGACGAAACAGGTGCTGCCAGATCCAGTATGCTGGGAGAGGGAAGGAGGAAAAGAAGAGAGGGTCTGTGTGCGAGATCTACCTAACAGATGGACCCTACTTCATAGGTGTGCATGGTGCCCAGTGTGGGTATGATCAGACCCAGGGGCAGCACTGGGGGCTGGATAGCAAGGCTCCATGGGCCAGACTCAGCTCATAGTCCATATGTTTGGCACCTCTGGCTTAATTCCTTGATGTTCTATATTTAACTTCAGGGCTGTCCCTAATCCTCATAAAATTAATGGAAGTTTAGGCACTGATTTCACTGAAAGGAGGAGCAGGTCCTTAGACCAGGAATGCTTAATCCCTGGTCTACAGGCCAGATCCAGCCTACAGTGCCATGTCATCGAACCAACAAGGCTCCCCACAAGTTTAGCAATTTGGTGGTGGGGGAGCAGCACCACTCCCTGGCAAGCCAGATCAGACACTCATCCCAGTGTGCAGGTCTGGGCAGGGGCCACACAGGGCCCCAGGGCTCACTCCTGTTGTGGTGAGGTGGGGAGTAGGCAATGCTAGGCTCCCAGGATCCAATCCCAGTGTGCAGGGGTGGTGGGAGGGGGTCGTGCCAGGCCCCAGGGCCCAATACTGGCAACAGAGGTGGGGGAAGAGAGGAGGTGCTACCAGGCTCCCAGAACCTAAACCCAGTGCACTGGAGCAGGAAGGGGAGGTGCCAGGTTCCAATACAATACAATTTTATTGCAGAATAACTTGCCTGAACATCTGGCATATTCCAAAAAAAGTTGGAAAGCATTTACTTATAATCCATAGCAAATGTGATTACACTGGCCTTAAAGACATTAACCATTTTGCTTCAGCAATGTAACAAATGTTTCTCATAGATCCTATGAAGGTGGGATCCTCACAAATACTTACAGCAGACAATGTACAATTAAACAAATAGGTATGCTCTGACCACTGTAGAACCTACACAAGTTTTATGTTTTCTAGCACTCAGCAAAACTTTCTTTGCACTGAGGCCAATTTACTAATTATTGTAATTAAAAAGTGTTCCTTGTCCTGTATACAACAGGAGCTTTATCTTTTTTTAGAATATGTAAATACCAAAGTGTTTTAAAATTGCCAAGCAACTCAAGCAATATAAACAAAATTTAACAGATTTTACAAACAGGGTTAACAAATAATATAGTGGTTTAAACCACAATGGCATTCTTATTCAGAAGGCACAAGTAGATGATTTCACTTTTTAAATAAAAAATGAAAGCAGCAGTGGCATTGATCAACTTAATTTTGTAGCTTATTAAATTTACAATGGAAAAACTGAAAAATTACTTTATAGTGAAGCATTTGGGTATAATTTTAGATACTGGTATCTTATAAAACTGATCAATGGAAAAAAATTGATAATATTGAATAAAAATGTCCCAAAAGAACCTAGAAAAGATTTCAGAAATTGTTGTTGCTCTACTAGAATGTTTAACCTGCCAAAATGAAGTGCTAATCACAGAATAAGATACCATATTACATTTATAAACTAATGAAACTAGAAAAAGCAGCATGCGTGACACTATAATTAAACAGCTGGAACACATCCAAGCCTGTGTAAGTTGATAACCCTGGCACTGTTTCTGGCAGCAAAAAGGCAGGTCTGCAGTGAGTTGATATGGCCAGCACAGTTGTTAATTCAATAACAGGCAATCTATAAACACTGCTAATTGCATACGTGAAAAACAGCGTGCACCTAGGCAAGTTTCCTTCAGAAGCATTAAACACTTCAGAAAACTACTTGTGTAAAACATCTTGCAAAAATTTCTGTCTTATTCATAGCTTAGTTCAACCAACTACTGTCCTGGCATGCCACATCATTTTGATTAACTTCTTCATAAGAGACTTAAATGGTACATTTTTCTAAAGATCATTTTTCTTAAGTAGATACAAAAACAGAACTATCAATTATCCATTTCAGGGAAGAACAAACAAGTAATCTAGAATTCTCAACCTCTGGCTAGCAGGCCTCCTAAATCTAATTACCAGACACTGCTACATTCCCAACAGATATTCTGATTTATTTTAATGTTTCTGCTATGAGAGGAACCCAAAACTGAAAACACTTTCACAAAAGCATTTTAAAACAACCATGAGAGGTGTTGGGTAGCACAAAGATAGTAATAAGCTACTAAACAGTGATCACCATGTTTTTATAATTTTTTTAATACGTTTTTCTACCGTTTCCTTTTCGCTTTTAATCCTCCCCTCTCTTGAATTGAAAACTGATCGTGTTGGATACCTTTCAATTTTTAAGAAAGTCTGCAACTGAAGAGTATTAGTATTAAGTGATTAAAAGTGGAAATACCACTAAGACTTGGAAAAAGTCAATGGAAAAACGTGACTAAAAGTCTGATGAACTCATGTTTTGATGCTACACGTATCCTTGAACAGTTTCATTTCTTCAAACACATTCCTCTTGAAACAGACAGTATCATGCACTTTCCCTCCACTCCTACAGAAGCAGATGAAGGTGGTCAAGGATGAATACTATTCTGGTCGAAAAGGAGAACTTGGACTGGTTGTTTAGAGATCAGCTGATTTTACCTAGACTACTCTAGGGCATACATACATGTCTGGAAAAGCAGCATTTTTGATAACCATGAAAGGTAAAGCAAGATGAATATCCCACGTACATCAGAAACAGTTATCAGACTGTCTCATAAAACAGCATTCTTTCTTTCAAAACACCCCAGATGCATCAGCTTGCTTCCAGTGAAAAACACAGCTAAAAGATTTACCTTCAACATCACAACTCAGGTAGTTGCGCACTTCATTCAAAATAAAGTTGATATCTTCTTCTTTAGGTATTGGGTGAGGAGTGATATCAGTTGGAGTATCTGTTGTCCCAGCAACAGTCATCTTTTCCCACGGCAGGAAGAAAATCACTCGGCCATCACTAGTGGCTGGGTCAAGCAGCCCCATGTTGTCAGGGCTGAAACAAAAAAGAAATAAGGTTAAATATTTTCTTTAAATCCTCACATCAAATGTAAAAAGTCTAGTTTACTAATTATAAAAATCACTCTGCATTGGAATTAATGCATTAACCAGACTCCCATATTATACTCATAAGCCAAGATTTGAAAAAAAAAAAAAAAGTAACCAGGGATTTTGCCTCCCTTGTATGTTCCAAGTAGAGTCATATGAAAGAAGCTTGTTTTTGATACAGTTCTGTGAACCACATTTTAAAAACTGAGGCTGCAGGCATTTCTCAAGTGGGAACCCAAGACTGCTGGTCACAGTTCAGAACTTTGGTCATGTAATGTAATTCTAAGGTCTGTCAATTAAAAAAAAAAAAAAACCACCAATGTTTTTGAGAGAAAAAGTATGAACTGAAAAATAAGGTTACGTTTTCTTAAGCAAAGACTGGAATAGGATCGATATTGTGTAACATTAAAAACAAGGTAGTAGCCTGGGAGGAGAAGAACCATAAAGAAATTCACTTCCAGTTATAACCTACATAAATGAGACCAACTATGTCTGCAATTACACTTAATAAGTGAGTGAATGCAGCTTCTTTGCTAGTGACAGGAGGTGACAGATCCTGGAGAATATTACTGTATTTACTTGATTTCCAAGATAACGTTTCCCCCCTCCCCCCATTTAACATGGCAGGAAAAGCCCCATATCTTGAAATCAAGTATGATGCGGCAAGGGAGTAGGCAGCTGTTGTGGCTGCGCCTACAGCCTCAACCCCAGTTCAGGGCTGGAGTCAAAGCTGTCCTGGCCCCAACCCAGGGCTGGGGTTAAAAGTCACAGTTGCTGCCTACCCCGCTCCCACATCTGCACCCCCTATCTCTCCCTCCCTTCCGGCCTGACCTGCTCCCCTTTCCCTTCATTTTCCTTCCTCCCCTTATCCTTGCTCTAGCACTGGCAGGCTCTGTCCCATCTCCATCCTGGGGCATGGAGCACAGCCCTAGTCTAGCCACACAGCAACGGTGCTGGCTCTGCACTGCTGCTATGGGGCTGAGCTGGGGCTGTGCTCCAGGCTACAGCAGGGCTGGAGCTTGCTGACACTGAAAAAAGAGCAAGTGGCAGGGGGTGGGCGGGAGGAAACAGTACGTCATTCACTGGACTCTGCTGCCCCAGCCGAGCAGGAACCAGAATGTGCCTCCTTTACTCTTTCACAATCCAGTGTGCAGCAGAGAGGCGGAATGACTCTGAGCAGTGTGGGTCAGCCCAGAGCTGCCCTGTGCACTGCCAGGCAGACTGCGGGAGCTTGCAGAGCATGTGGACATGTGTGCACAGGGACCTCCTGGCTGCACAGCTCTCTGCTCTTCAGGGGCCCAGCATGTGAATATCTGTTCAGACATCTCCAGGTAAGTTTTTCTACCAGGAAAACAGACCTGGGAAAATTCTCCCAGATTATTTGAACATCTGTATGCAGCCTATGCCTAAACTTCTGTAGGAATAATTTTTTCATATTAATATTTTTAATTCATTTACATAGTTAGCAGCATAAAGAAAAAACTCAGATATGTGAAAATGCGCAAAAGGTCTGCATGTGAGGAATTTTGATCCACATGACTAACCAATATCAAAAGATATTCATTAAAAAACAAACCAAAACAAACCACCTGTCATTTGTAAAGCAAATAAATGAATCTAACAGAGTTGAATCAGTATAAGCAAAGCTACAGAACATTCTACAATAATAATCATTAAATTACAACCTCTATTTATAGTACTTTTTACTATAAAACCTGCATCAGTAATGAGCATTAGTTCATCCCATTTGCCTATCTACCCTAGCTATTTCAGGTATCAAATCAGTAAGGAAATTGTCCCATTTCTCTTGATCTTTTTTATTCAATAGGCTGTTTCCATAAGTAGCATCCAATGTTACAGCCACAATGATAAGATACATGTACTGGCTAACAAATTAGTAATAGGAATTATTAATAGGAATTTAGTAACAAATAATAATTAGTAACAAATTATTAATAGGAATTTATCTGCTAAACTTCATCACCTGGGGTCAGATGCGTCTACCAGCCCCTACTTGAATATTCCACATACAAGACCATATACTCTATATAACTGGGCCCAATGGAGCTATCCAGCTTTGTTCATGTTGAGTGCTACCACCTGTGAGTGCACATGTGAAACACGACACAAAGCCTTTATTTAAAGTCAGAATTTGCAGCAGCAGCTGCAAGTACTGGACCAAGTCCAGAGTAAGCTCTATCGAGGTAAATGTCTTTTTTCTTATCATATATACATAAATCAATAGTATACTTTTCAGCTGAAACACTAACTTGCATGACATGCCTATAGCTGTAATTTCACCTAGGCCTGTTATTTTAAAAATATTATCTTAAAAGAGCGCAGAGGGGGAAAGGGTGGCGTTGGGGGGGGGGGAAAGCAAGTAAAAAATGGGAATCTTCCAGGGCACCAACACTTAATTGCAAGCACTTGTAGGAATGCTATGAAAAATAGCACCAAGTGGGGAAAAAAACTGCTTAGGCTATTTATTTAATTGTTGGACTGCCCTCTGAACAGAGAATACAAAATTAACAGAATAAAGGCAAAACTGTGTCGTAACGGTATGCCTGAAAGATATAACAAAAATAAGGCAAATTTTTACAATTCTTTTTAAATGGGCATCTTTACAGTTTTCATCCAATATTAGCAGCAATCGTCTTCAATACATGCAAGGAAATTCCATTACAGCGTACTGGAGTTATGTCAGCATGAACTTGGAATACGTAAAAGTTTATTAAAGACCTGCATTTGTCCACTGTTCTCTTCACAGCAAAACTCAATGACTTCTTCAGACTGGAAATCTCAATCAGAGGAAGTTCAACTCTCAAATATCTTCCTTAATTTTTTAAAGGTTTATAGCTGCTTGTCCTGAGGGGAACTGATAGTGTTTTATTTCTGTGTGTATCCTAAAACCAATTGTGAAGAACAGTGAAGAAAGGAAGGGGCACTGGGAACTCCTAGAAATACAAATGCATAAACCTTGAAGGATCTAGCATTGAACTGGTTGAAGAACAGAAAGAAAAACCATCAGAGAAAAAAGTGAAGAACAGGTTAGACGAGAGAGGAGTGGTACGAGCAGAGGAAACAGCTGATCTTGGAAATGACCCAGTAAGAAAGGATAGTCTTGCAATAAGGGCACTAGCAACAACTACCAATTTGCAACCGAGATACAGAACTGGGTTTAATTCCTAATTGGACACATACTGCCTATGAGATCCTAGACAAGTAATTTCCTCTCCTTGTAGTTCAGGTCCCCATATATAAACTAAAGACAAGAGATATCCCTTTGTCCTTTTTTTGTTTTGGTTATAAGCTTTTCCTAATCTCTGTATAACACCTACCATAATAACCCACTCATTTTAATGGAGCCTGTGTGTACTCCAAGGGCTCCTAAAACAAGTTAGAGGTAGGGGTTTAGAGAGAATTACTGAAACCCCCAAAAGATGCAAGTGTCTAAATATTTTGAGCTCTTTAAAAAAAAAATAAAAAAAATCACAGCTCTCATTAATGTGGGAAAAATAGCTATCATCAGCACATATTCTTTAAATATACTGGGAAAATGAACAAAAACAAGTCTATAGGAAGTGAAGCGGCAAAGTAAAGGAATCATTCTGAGAGAAAAAAAAAAAATCTTCCTTGCTAGTGAAAATGTCGTTATGGGGAATGTCTGCAGAACTCACAAAGGGCAATTAGAAAGAATCACCATTTCACAGAATTGTTGATCAGCCACTTTCACAAGATAATGGTAGACATGGAATTAGTTAGACACAACTTACCTCAAGAACATAAAATAGACAAAATTTGAGCTTTTTTTTTTTTTTAAGACGTTAAAATAGTTTATAAGAAACACTAGTTTTCAATACTGAGGAAGAGGGATTCTAGAAAGAAGCTGAAATATTTAACTTTGAAATACTGCATGTATATACTAGAATGTTCCAGAGATGATATTTATAGACAGCTTAAGGATACACTTGGAGAAGTACCATTTAATAGGCACAAGTCAACATAGATTTGTGAAAGGTAAATCACATCAGGGAAATGATTACTTTTCAAAATGAAAAAAGCTATTGATTTAGACACAGAAGAACCTAGAGCTTTAATACACATTAACAGAATATTCACAAAATTCATCTTCTAAAACTTGGGAAAAAAAACGTATTTTCTTAATGTGATTTAGGTAATAAATTATTCATATTAGGAAGAAGCAAGCAAGCAGACTGTTTAAGTTAAAATAGTTGTATGATTTCTAGAACCTACTAGGACTGAATCTATATAAGTATGTAGTCACACCATTATATTTGCAGATGATAGTGAAACTGAGGGAGGGAAACACTCAGCAGGATGCAGAGAATCCTCTTTGAATCTTTCCACTCTTCACCCTCATCCTACTCATCTATCCGTCCTGTGTTTCACTGCTCCACATTTGACATACTTTGTCATTTATGTAGGCCTTGACTACTCCCATTGGTCTGCCTCTCCCATTATATGTCAGTGCTGTCCACTATACATGGAACATCCTTCTTAAGAGCATTCTTAATACTGACCTCCGCCAACTTTAACACACATAAGACCAAGTTTTTAGCCAACTAATGGCTAGCCAGAAAGGCAGCTGGAAGCAGTTTCTATTTAGAGTTTAAAACACTAACCATATTTTATCCCTCTCCCAGACATTTCTTTCATATGTTTCTTGTCATCTTGATAGGAGGGACTGAAACTTCCTTTGTGAATGGACAATGTTTAGCAAATTGTAGGTGCCATTTCAACTGGTTGGGAATTTTCAGATCAAAAACATTTCCACTGCAAGAAGTGTTTATTCATCAAAACCAAAGTTTCTCGCAGGAATGGTGCATCTAAGATGGAATTTTTAGTGAAACGCAGAGACACGTCAACTCACATAGGACTCATTAACTGAGTGTTTGGACACTCTCCTAAAATGTTTAAGACTAAAGT